TTAATCCCATGCGGGAAATCCAAGATAGAACAAAGCTAGATAGAAATTCAAAATAGAAAAAATGTCGTGATTTCCCTCACATGCTTCAACAAAGAATCCTTAACTATCAGTAAACAGGAAAATCAAATGTTCTTACATGCTCGGGGTTTAGTGGAGTCGGAGCTCTGCAATATTCGGTGAGAAAGTCTGCCGTCTCTTCCCGGAAACTGAAGAGCGGAACGCAGTAAAGAGAATAAATGAAACAGACATACAGTACATAGCAGGCCAGCATGTACCCCACAGAAGAAAGTGTTCTTAAAGTGAAATGGAAACAACTGCACCATCAACAAATACGAACATAATCAAACAGGCTTTTAAAGAATTGGATATACAATAATATTACCCAATACGTTATCAATAAACCCTTAATTAAAACGGCTTTCTGACACAAGCTGCATTTTGCCATATATTCCAATCCATAAACTGGGGAAAAAGAAGGGAACTTGTACAGATAACATGCTAATCGGGCCTTTTCTCTTCAATGCTTGGAAACACAAACTCGAGAAAACACAAGTGTTTTTTTTTACCACGTACATTGAATGTATTATGTAGATACACAAGTAAAACTCTCTCCGATGGTGACCCCCCCAGTCTCGGTACAGATTTGCCAGGTGACCCCTCCTCGGCCCTGTCTCGGGGTTGCAGGATTTAGGAGGCAGGCAATGAGTTTCAGCAAGTGGTAACACCCGGGACACCAGCCCACTTGCCGAACAATATGATTGATTAAGCACAATCACACTTTTTATGAGCTTATAATTGTTTTGAAGAAACGTTATTTTAGAACCGCATTCTTTTAAAGAATTGTATACATTGCGGTAATAAAGTTAATTTTCTTAAAATGTCTTACGGCGGGCTGCTCGATTGCGGGCTAACAACTGCTGTCACTTTGCTTTGAATAAGCGGGGCAACTTCTAAAAAAAAGAAAACGTTAACAGGCGACATCAGAAAAAATCTGTAAATAAAATAAGAGTTGGTGTTTGGGTGGAACCGTTCAGTTACCTTTTATTTTAAAAGAAATATTTTAAAATCATGGCAATTTGGGTAAATCTTAGGCAGTTTGTTGCAGCTTTTCTGGTAAATTAACTGTAAATATTATGGGAAAAAGAAGGAAACGAAGCCGATGCATTTTTCATGTATACCATTCAAATGATAAAAAATAAATAAATTGAGAGAATTCTGTCGCTCAAACTTGGAAGAAGTGGGGATGTTAACATGAAATACCACGCCTCGGACTTGGCGTCGCCTTCGAGTTTGTATTTTTTGCCGTTTGGCTTCTATCTGTGACACATTTCGTGGACATCTAATCTAATCTTCTGGTCTGCTTATGGTGCTCTAGTCGGACATTGTGGTGTACAAGTGCAGTCCTACAGAATCTACTGCAAAAAAACCTAGATCGACAAATGTACCACATGCAAGAAAAAAAAAACAGACGATAGTCAAAAAGGGTTTTTTATTTGCTCTTTTCCAAATGAAGTGTTTCTGTCTAATCACTACTTACCGTGACTTTTTTTTTTACAGTAAGTACAGTTACAGCTGTCGTGTTACAGCTACAGTTATAGCACATAACACGAACTACTAAAAGAAACAAAATAAGCCTGCTCGTCTCGTTTACCGGACAGGACGGGACTTCTCCGCAGTTACACATCTGGTATAACACAGCCTCCAAGGAGGTATACGTCCGCCAAAGGGAAACAGATCCAGCCAGCAAATCTCCATACATCATAACAGCAATGTAATCAGTGTGATCTTACCCACGCAGCCCCTGTAGGTCAGAATACTGCAGCAATTCTGGTGTCAGGCAGTTCGCTTGAGCCCTAGACAGCTAAAAGTCGAAAGCAAAACTTTTGGTCATTCGTGCGTTTACTGGAGCTCTTTGATAGGAGCACTTATTATTATTTGAATCACAATGACAACTGTTGCAAGTATTGTTAGCTCAATATACAGCATATAGCGCCGTCCCGACTTTAGACGTAGCTTGTGCAGGACCTGTGCTGTTCATTCGCTCTTCTTCGCCGTGATCTCTGGGGCTCCCTCTAGAGGAACCTCTAGCAACAACACCTCTGAATGCTAAAGAGTCGTCTCGATCGCGATATATTGTACTGCTGAGTACTTCGAGACGTGCGACAGAAAGAAATTATCTGCAACGACAGACAGTCACCGCCCATGGCTGGTGAAGACAAGGGACCGATCACTCACCTTGCTTTGGATAAACAATATTCAAGCTGAATTTATAAAAAAATATATTCTAGATTTCAAGACAATGCTGTATTTTACATCTGTATGCATAAATCTAGAAGTATTTTAGGCATGTGTATTTTTTGCATAGGAAAGTATATTATGTGGCCGAAGTTTACAATGTTTAAAGCAACATCAACACCTGGAAGGATATCCGCAGAAACAGTGTCTCCTGTTTAGACTACTCTAGAAAACCTTTTTTCTAACCTAATTTCTGTTGCCACTAAGGATCTCAGTACCCTTTCTGTGATGAAAATTATGGACAAGACCTTAGAACCATGGTAAGGCTCAGCACTGTTGAACTGCAAATGTCAGCAGGGCATTCTGTGTCGGTGTTGCAACACAGAGACCTCGTGTTAGACGACAGAGTGTCTAACATCATGATTATGTAATGCTGAATTCCTTCGAATTTAGTCTGCCACAACAACAGCTTCATTTATATTGTATATTCTTTGTGAGCTTTGGGGGATATATTGGAAGACAGAAAATATTTTTTTTGCAAAGAATCTTTTACTCTTGGCTTTGAATTTTCTTAAAACATTTTAAGAACATTAAAACTGACATTACATAAGCATAAAAACGTTTTGTTTAAATGCAAAGTGAAAAACATCTCTTTAAAATTTAAACTTACCACAAATACATGCATATAAGGAAGATAAACATTAAATCTTTTTCTCGTTAACCTTAAACTCTTAGCCATGTTGTAGATAACATTTTATACATTTAAATCAGGCAAACATCACAAAATTCAGAATGCATATTATACATATTCAGGACTATTCATCTTAAAGCCATACTTGTAGTAAAAGACTGGACTACTTATTGCATCTCTAGGTTTTTATTTAATGATTACATCTCCATTTTAAAAAGTTTACCATCTCTGATTATATACAGATTTTGAGCTACAGAAGCCTTCAATAAATGCTGCACATAAAAACAAACTGCAGGAATTTTAAATTAGAAGAAAAAGCAGGACACTTACTCTTTCTTCAAGAATATCATAGCATAATTTGTTTTCACTGTTACCAAAGTTCAGAATTCCCTGAAAGAGACATCACTTCAAATAAATGGAAGAAATTAATATCGCATTTGATCTTGTCAGACCTCTCTTTTCCTACAGGCCTCACGCTTTTGCTTTTTTTGCTTAAAAACATTTTTTTTTAATTTGATTTCAATCCAAATATCTTATAGATGTATCTTATTAAATTAAAACCAAAGCCTACATTTACTTGCATGTAAAAATGCTTATGTTATAGACAGTAGTCAAAATTAAAATAACAAAGGCATTTTATTTTTTTTCATCACACCTGTACAGCAACAAGATTCTACTTTACGTTACCTGAGGATTGTTTTCTTTGTTGAAGGGATCTTTAATGTACATGTCAAAACCAGTCCTATGGACTCCCCTGTATGCCGCAATACGTGCTCCACGAGACGACAAATTGCTCTCCATGACAGAATTGAAGGTGACGACCACAGAGTGATACAATACGTACAAAATAAGAAACGTAGCACTGAACTCGGTTGACACCGACTGCAGCATTAAAAACTGAAGAACTGTGCACTTTACAGACAACAAGAAGTTCAAGAAGAGCCAGTTACCCAACCCCTAGGTTAGACACCTAAGGAAGTGCCTAACGTGACAAAACGAGGATTTTTTCTTTCTCCTAGCGCCTTACTTGACAAAACGAGGAATTTTTCTTTCTTCTAGCCCAGTGGTTCTCAAACTTTTTGGACCAAGTACCACCCCTGATCAAACCAAAGCATCCAAGTACCACCTCCAAGTCATCTTCTCATAGGAAACCCCAGAAATTCTCAATGACCAACATGTGCTCGCCTGTCACACACTAACACACACATATAATACATATTATAATAATAAACTTTATTTGATATAGCGCCTTTAAAGGTGGCTTCTCAAAGCCCTTTACAGAAAAAAAAACCAAGAACAACACCAAATAAACAATAAAAAGGCACCATTTCAGTGAGAGGGGTGAGCCTGTTTAGTCGAGCAAAGCAGATGTGAATTCATTTTTTGAGCCTTGATACTTGATACAATTCACAACAGAGTCTAACAGAGTCTTTAAATCGTCAGGCATTTTCTTGACGGCAAAGGTCTCGCGGTGGATGTTGCAATGTGTCGCTTCATTTCTGGAGCAACCTCTCTAATTCGTGCAACTACACCGCTGTGTCGGCTTGTCATCGCTCTAGCACCGTCTGTACAAACTCCGACACATTTTATCCAGTGGAGGCCATTCTCTTCGATAAATTCATTCAGAAACTGAAATATGTGCTCTCCTGTAGTTCCTGTTGGTAGCGGTTTACAGAACCGAAAGTCCTCACGGGACATGCTCTCAAACTCATATCTAACGTAAACGAGCGAATTGGCCAAATCGACTACAGACTCATCTAATTGCAGTGAAAAACATCTGCTCATCTTAACGCGCGCTATCATCCGCCATTTCAATAATTCTATGAGTGACTGTGTCTTTCAGAGGGGGCAGCAGGTCGAGCTGTTTAGCAGCTTTTTCTCCACACATAATACGTGTGTTAGCTCTTTTGCCAGGGGCAAAAAAGGTTCTTCAAACATTGTGTTTGTGTTTTGTCTTACCTGCTTTAGCAATCCGCAAGCTTGTATTTTTCCCCGTTACCGTTTCAGGAGTCCGTCTCAGAAGTTAAAAGAAGTTTTTATTTCATGCGCATGGGAGCGAAACACAGAGACGCTCGGTGTACTTTTCTCAAATTAACCTAGAACAGTTCTTAAATATGTTTCTGTTCTCTATCACGCTTTCCTGTGCTCACAAGATTACCAGCGTTCGTAGCACGCATTTCTACGCATTCCTGTGTTTACAGCTCCAAAATTGTTCCAAAATCACGCACATTCTCCTACCTCTCTGTTTGCTGGAGATACGTTTTTTTAAATACAATTGGTCACTTACAGTGCGTTCATAGCACGCATTCCCATAGAATGGTACAGAATTACATTGTAGCTGTGTCCACTCCAGTGTTAGGGCGCGCTGTATCTCAGTACGTGAGCTGCGTATTCGACACGTATTAAAATAGAAAATATGAAAACCCGTCCCGATTTTTCAGCGCACACAACACAGTTCCAGGGTCATATGATGTACCAGCTCGCGTACCACAGTTTGAGAACCACTGCTCTAGGCAGTGTGTAAATGAATGCCCCTTCCTCATTTCATGCTCACTAACACGAGGGCTTGGTTAATTGAGGTTTAGAGACGCGGTTTGTGTTTGCACGCACGATCGGCATACTGCATGTACTGTACTCGTCACAAACTGGTTCTGCAGTCCGTGTTGGGTGTTGGGTTTTGTAGTAGTACACCCTACGAGAAGCGGGAAGAACGGAATGAGGCGAGAGGCGTAGTACGGGGGAAACACACAGGGTGTGTTGAATGGTGCACTAAAGTGAACCATGAGAGTTCGTGAGAAAGTGAACGGGGAAACAAACAGCAGCACCCCAATCCGAGCAGGTCTAAAACAGGGCCGGGGCACAGTCCACGAGTCCATGTCCGAAAGACGTGACAGGGTTAAAATCGCCGAAAGGGGAGGTCCTCCAGACCCCCGGCTCAGAAGCGATAAATGTCGGGGGTGAGACCTCTGCCCCTCAGGTTCCCGGCCGTGGCGCGACCTGGTGCAAGGCACACCTGGAACACATATGGACAATCACAGGGAACTATTGACAGGAGTACACGGAGCGCACTCTAGGGGTGGGATATCGACCGTGACGCGGGACTATGCAGTGCTCACCAACAGCGGCACCGCTGACCTCGCACAAGGTGTGGACCGAGCATGGAACAATTGCCGTAATTAATGAATTAATTATGAATAACAGTTTATGCATGCACATAATATCGACAAATACTGAGCAGGGAGGCATTTAACGTGCTAGTGGTAGGTCTAAAAAGTGCAAACTTTACCTTGTTTAAGTGAACCTTAAGTAATGGAAACCCGAATTCAGACATTGTCCCTTCTATCCCTTGCAGACTTTATAGAGAGGGATATAAAACCAATATCGTGTTTTTAATGGACCCCAGCAGGTTAATGATGGCGCACCACGAAGATAGAGTCGTAATGTATTACAGTGATAGGAGGACGGTACAAATAGCAGATCAAAGGGTTCAGGGATAAGACATTTCGGGCCAGGCATGTACTGTATTACATGCCGAATACTTTGACGGTTTCATTGTACAGTACATTTTATCTCCCAATTTTCCGGGTAAGTTTGCCCAGCCACGGTCCGGTGAATTAAGGACATTTTAACTTGTTATATTCCGAATCCTTGTTTTCAGCACTTTTATTGTTTAGTTCGGACAGGGTAGTGGAGTGTAACGAGATTACGTCCGTGAAAAAAATTGCTGGTGTGTTATTGTAAGCCTGCCGGGGCGATATTGTTTTTAATGTTATTAATCCGCTTGCCATGCATTGTGATGTACTGTAGACGTGCACTACATTGCTGAGGTGAAAATACACAAATATTCATTAACTTCACTAATGTTTATTTATTGATAATCATTCCTTTAAAGGCAGTTTGAGTTGCCTGTGTAAAGCTGTGGTTATCAGGTCTGCTGGGTTTTGCTCCAGCCTGCTTCTCGATAACAAGCTCATTGTTTTAGTTTATTATTTGCGACGGGCGTGTACATTCTCTTCAGCTTTGAAAAGGGTTTATGGGGGTTGTTGAGCCAGTTCCTGACTTTCTCTCATTCAGGTGCGCGGAAATGTAATGTATCCGCTTCATGCCTTAAACACCGTGGTTCTCAATCCTGACACCCGAGACCTGTTTTTCTTCTCAGTTCTCGGTTATTTTATTTTGTATGTGAAATAAAATCCCGAATTCGTGACTAGAAACAAAATGCAAATACAGTCGACTCGCGGTTTAGGAATTTTGAGTAGCGCGTAAAGCCAATTTCGCGTCAAGTCAAATTTTACCATATAACCCCCCCCCCACTAACCTCTGAGGGTAATACAAAATATTACATATAAGTGTAAAAACAGTACATAAAGTAAATGAAGTGACTATAGAGGCTTATGAACCCGCTTTCGTAGGCGTGTTTGACGAATTGTTCAGAGAATAAAGCATTTTTGTTTCAATATTGCTTATTTTCAACTGAAACAACTTCAATAAGCTTCAATAATCTAAGGTGAGTTGGATGGTGACAGCAGGTGTGCAAGTGTTTGACAAGCAAGATCATTCTCACCCGTGTCTCTTCGTCATTAGGTGCTCAGCTATAAAGAGCTTATGAGCCAGTAATAACGAAGCTAATGATTAAGTTTAAGACAAAATGCAGAGTTCTATATGTTGAAGGCGTTGGTAATATTCTTTAGCCTAGGGTATTTTTTAAACCAGAGCAGAGAAAAGCTTCTACAAGTGAGTAGAGATGAATTACAATTAGCCCCGTAGTTGAAACAACCAGGACAAAGACTGACAATTTTGCAGCGATGAAGGTTCCTCCCTCAGAGCTGCTGCCCGGTGTACCTACACACCGGCTGGTTTCTTTTCAGTTGAATGCTTTAATGAAACAAATCTTTAATTCAACTACCAGGTTGAACGGTTAGAACCTTTGCTTTTTTTTTTTTGGACACTGAATTTGGAGATTTTTAAGTTACTTAAATTTTTAAAAGGCAACCTGGCTTGAATCATTTTGTAGTTTCGAGTATATCAGTATTTGTGTAATAAGTTATACAGCCTATCAGTGATTTATCATTTTGTATTTGATTTCACCACACTATGTATACAGGTATTTATTATCTCCCTTTGAAAGATCAGTACTTGTTTTGGTTTCATATATACAATATATATAATAAAGCTATACTGAAACAGAAATGACCATGACCAGGACTGGGTATAGCATAAGCTACCTAGGCATTAACTCTGTAACCATTGACCTAGTCAAGCTGTTGAAGTCGATATCCTGGCCAAATGACCTTGTCTTACTTGAAACACTACTCACACATGTGTACTGAAACTACTGTATCTCCGTCAACAGAAATGTGCCCAGATCTATTGCTAGATGCAGTCCTTAATGCAGCTGACTTAATCCTTCAGAACTGAATGGTGTCCAATAGCCTGTATTTTTCCCCTCACAATAATAGCCTACAGGTGACCCACAGGTGTGTAGAGAAATTTAAGCGGTTTCAATAGAAACCTTGATGCTGTGTTTGTAAAGGATAATAATGGCTGTTGTATTACTGGATTTGTTTTTTAACAAATAATGTATACACCAAGCATTTGTTGCTGTAGTATTTTGAGGAAACAGGTTAAACGACTTGAAATTTAAATCTGCATGCTATACTGGACTGTAGGTATACAATGAGTTGTTGCTAATCTAATACCACTGTTGCTCCCTCAAATTACATTTGAAATATTTTTTCAGCTACATTCTAGGCTAGTGTTACACCAGATTTTGATTACCTCTACCATTAATGAATGCAAAACATAGAATGATTTGTATTTAACCAAGTTAAACCATTTACTGTATGTTACTTACATTGCCTGCCTCTGATAATGAGATCACTGATTTGCAAGTATCTGACAATCTGAAATTTGAAAAGCATCTACAGGAACTAAATAAAAGAGTGGGGGAAACACAGCACTGTTAAATGGAGTAAAGTTACAGCGTGTGTTTGTGCAAGAAGGTAGCTCTGGGAGCTGGTGAATTATGATGGATGGATTCTATTCTGCAGGCCCATTCGAGCAGTGAGGGTATGGACTGAGAGAGGAGGGTTATGACCTTATTTTATAGTCCTGAAAAACTCGTGTTCGTGGCGCAGTAGTTAGGATTGGTGCCTCAGGTTCAATTCCTGGGTTGTTACCTCGTGGAGTCTGTTATTCTCCTCGTGTCTGTGTGGGAGTCCAAAGACCTAGTGGTAGTTTAACAGGCGTCAGAGAAAACAGGCCCCGGTGTGTGCCTGCGTGCGTGGCTGCCCTGTCCTGTTCCTTGCACCCCAGGATAGGCTCCGTCTTGCACTGCAACCCTGTATTGCATGAAGCAGTCAATAAATGGATGGAGGTTTTTTATTCTGTGACAAGATACTTATGTCGTATCTCTTTCATAAAATGGCAGTGCACCTGGTACTAAAAGCATTTTCATTTTTCCTCCTAATTTGCCTTAATTTCCTCAGCTTTTCTTTTAATGGTCCATACCGTATGCTTTTAATTCACATTACATCCTTGCAAACGTAATTGAAAAACTTTAAAAAACTATTTAACAATGTAATTAGAGTTTCTTTGGTAAATATATCTTAAAACAGCAGGTCACAGCACAGCATGTCACAGCAAGGCACTCACAGTTTTGATTACTGTTTTATTTTATTACACTATTTTCCTTAAAAATATTTGGCCAGAATAATTACATACTGTATAAAATTTACATCTAGTATGGAGTAGGCTGCAATTTCAAGGTCAGTCTTAATTTGTAAAATGTCGCTATGAGCAAGTATTCTACAGTCATTCAGATACAGTTATTATTAATTGTATCAAATTTAATCACATTAGAAATTACTTAATTTAATTAGAAACAAACTGAAGAAATGGCCCAGTGGGTTTTCAGGCTATTGCCTGTTTTATATTTCTAATTTGTATGTCTTTCACTGAATTAATTATTCACATACTGATCACAGGTTTTAATGGTAATTTCAACATTACTGCATGTTCATGCTTGATGTGTAAAGTGGTAGAAATCTCATAATACTGCATCACGGATCACACTAAAAATGTTAAACATTCTGCATTGGTTAACAATTGCCACTGAACAAGAGCCAATGTGAATGTCATCTAAAAGTAAGTTACATTGTGTTTTGCAGTGTTGTAAGAACTCTTCAACTGAAATAAAAAAGAATATGAAATATTTCTTCATTGTCCTTTTTTGAAAGTGCACTGAATTTAAACACTCCAACAACCTGAGGTATCGTTGTTGATGAATAGTCACACAGTAAATCCTCAAACAAAAAAAAGTTCTTTAGTGGAATCACAGTTAGTTTTTTGGGGAAAAAGGACTGAATAAAAGAAACATAAATAGAAAAAAGTTATTTTCTAATTTATCCTCAATTAAAGAAGTAGAAACTGGCTGCTTTGGGTCCTTGAAGGAGCCCAAATATGTGATTACACAGGGATGTAGACTTAATTATCTTTTTCGTTTTCATTAGAACACATCTCTAATGTACAACACTTTTCGAGCACATTGATTTCTTTACGTTTAGCTCTTGCACACGTTTTAGATTTAAATATAAGGTGAACTCAGGTCAGATGCTGACAGGGTGTGTATTAAGAAAAGCTGTCTCGCACTGCCATTCCAGCCACCTTTGGGTGCAGTGCTGTATCGCTATGCTAAAGTCACTCTTTGACCAGGTTTTGTGGTGGGTGGGCCTTGAGTCCTGCCTTCACAGGTGTTCCTAAAAGCATCATACCTGAAAGTACAAAGATTAACATCACGTAAGAGACAAAATCATTATACAGTATACGGTATCCTTATTTTCACTCCTTAGATTAAGTAACACTCGATTAAAGCAAATTTGACTCTATAGGGTCGTGTGGATTGTATTAACTCGTTATGTTTTATGGTATACTCCTCTTCCCCCTTATAGGATTGGTCATTTATTATAAGCAACAAAAAAGAAACTGGGACGGAGGTGATAGGACATAAAGACAGTTCAACATTTTATCTCTTTTCCCTACACAAACTTCTCCTTTCAGGAAAAATAAGTCACCTGTGTCAGGTTAATCCGGAAAAAACATTCTTCAGTGCTTTTCGATGCACGTAGTGTATGTTACAGGTTTGTATACAAAAGTATATATTTTTATATTTATATTTATATTTTTGTATACAAAAGAAAAGCACAATATATGAAATTCTTCTAAATCACTTTTCAGTTTCTGAAAAACAGCAGAAACCTGTTTATTATCCGTCAGGACCCATTTAAGATGGCGGTCATTTCAACACAGAGTGCCAGGGGCAGGCGTCTCCCGAGATCAAACACAGGGGAGCGTCACTGAGCCAGTAACGGGGGACTCACAGCTCGTGGTACTTCTTCCAGTCCTGCTTGCCGACCGAGGCCCTGGTGCTGGCCAGCGCTCCCGTCAGGTGGGACTGGCAGATGAGCAAGGCTGCTTTGCTGGGTGCTGCCTGCGTGAGGAAGGACTCTTCCTGCAACCAGAGCAAGAAGCACAATGTGTGAGCAGTGGCAGCCTGCACATTTTACTCAAAACACTTGCAGAAAAGAAAACCCAGCACTTGTCCTGGAGCACCAGCACGTCACTGTATATGACAGTTCCCGTTAGCATGTCAAGCTTTAGACACATCCTGCTCAAAGCTCTTTCTGGACTGACTTATGGTCCCCCTGCTTGGGGAATGATTTTCCAGTGAGCTGGAACTGGACAAGGCAAGACTTCTCATAGCTGGTGTCATGGAAATATAACTATCAAGGAAGCCACAAGAGAGAGTTCACCTGAGTAAGGTCTTTATTTCAATATTGCAATATTGGGAGCCCTGCTGCCACTTCGCAAATTGCAACCAGAGACTCAATTTGTTACAAGCAGTACAGGGTTTTTATAAGACGTTGCGCTGTAAAAAAGCTCAGCGCTTTGTCCCTTCTAAAACTTCCCCTTTCCCTAAGAGAAAACAGGTTACATCGTAAAGCGAGAGAAGAAGCACCACTAGATTTGTTATTCAAAGCTTATCAGTTACTTTCAGCTTATCAGTTAATTCTAACGACCCAGACAGCATATATTGTTTTGGTACATTGTCTTCTAAAGTAACCTAAACAGTGTACTTTGTTGACGCACTGTTTTCTAAAATTCTGCATGTACTGTAGCGCAGCAATTACATCCTTGAAATATATTTTCTAAAAGCACCAATATATTTTTTGCAAAGCTCTCTACATTTTAAGAATCAATTTACTTATTTGATTTCCCTTTCAATTCCCTCCTTTTTATTCTTGAAAATGATTAAAAGTTAGATTCTTCATATGGACTCCCAGGAGGCTCCCATACTTTGGATTCTTGCGTTCTTATCAGAACATACTGATGCGCAAACATATTCATTACCATATTTCAAAGCACTGGAATAATATATGTTGTACAGCAACACAAAAACAGGAAGACAAGCATCACAGCTACTATAATCGGTGTTCGGAACTTAAAGAAAAACATTCCCCCTGGCCCAAACAGTGATTCTAACCAGGAGAGAAATAACATACAAACTAAACAAAAAAGGGCAGATGAAAAGGAAAAAAATGGAATTGGACTTGAGTTTTAAAAACAAGAGATATTCAGATGTTGTTGGCAGCTAATGGAGCCAAGGATCTCTTCCTGGACGAAGCCAGAGTATCAGCTTTAATATCATCAATTTCATAAATTTCCCTACGGGATTAATAAAGTATTATCTATCTATATCGCAGCTCGGGAGCTTGTTCCACACTCGCACAGCCCTTGACAAATCAAATGTTACCTCCTCTCTTCTTCCTTTTCAAACACTGTGTTGTGGTTATTTAATGATGCTCGCTGGCAAGAAACGAGCCGATCGCCCCTTCCTTGTTTTGAAGCTTTTATTTCCGTTCTGAAACAAGCACAACAAAGTTAGATTACGACTCTTCACCACAGCGGGCTGTGCCCTGGTGCCTCACCATCATCCTGCTGCGGTAGTTGGCTTTGATGCTGCTGATCTCCGCTCGCAGGCGATCTAACTGCTCATGGCTCAGCTCCTGAAATCCCTCCTGCAGCGATGCCATGAACGCTGGGGTCTGGGAAGAGGCCATGTCCCTCAGCGAGGCTCCAGTGATATCGTGGGTCATCGAGTTTGGTCCCGACAGGCACTGTGAATTCTACAGCAGGGAAACAGCCATCAGTGTCGGAAAATACAGAATTATTTATAATTCCGTATTTTAATATAACGTCTCTTACGACGTACACTAGATGCGGAACTGCACTAGTTTATCTGAGAAAGCATAAATATAAAAATATATTTCCCAATTGAGAAATGTTGGCAAAAACTGGCAAGATCGTGCACCTACATTAATCTGATGTAAGTGTTACAAGTGTTTGAGTCTTTTTGCAAAATATTCCAATATTTCCTGTGAAACTATAAGACATTTTAGCACCTCAGGTTTAATTATTAAAAGAGTAGTGTACTGTACCATATATAATTAATATGTTCATTTTCACATTTTGCTTTATATTCTCTGCCAGGTTCTGTGTGATTTGCCATTCTGGTTTCTCAATAGAGCTATTGAGTTTCATAAGAATGACTCTTCACACCTGAATGACAGGGAGAGAGGTGAGAACATACTCAGTGTTAGTCCACAGCAGCTGCAGATCACAATATTTCACGAAAGAGCTTTGCCACTTTGAGCAGCACTCATTAGATTTCCCAGTGCACTCCCCTGGCATTCAGCCATGACATTATCTCTAAAGCTGCCGTTACAATATGAATTAATATAATATTAATCCGCACAGGAACAATTAACCAAAATCACACAGAACATGCGCAACAGGATACACAATATGTGTGAAATGGGACAACAGTAAAGCGCACAGGATATCAGTTCTTCCTTTAAAGATTTCTGTCATGTCTGAGGTGATTTACAGACTAAGCACACAGTTTGTGTCTATTCATCTCAACACAGGACACTGTAGAGATCAGTGACCGGCTCTGAGAGTATAGGGATCTCTACACAGGACACTGTAGAGATCAGTGACCGGCTCTGAGAGTATA